GAGTTAAAAAAAAAAAAAAAGAAAATGGAAATGTCATGGCCAGCAATGTTGTGGTTAAGGAGTTGAACTCCCACATGGCCAGCTGGGTTTCAGTCCCAGACCTGATGGCTTGAAAATCAGGCTGGGTGTGTGTGCATGTGTACCCAAAATCCCAAGAGGAAAATGGAGTAGAGGGAATTGCAGCATGACTATCCCCCGAGGGATGATTTCTTACTTTCCCTCTCTCTGTCTCTCTCCTCTCCAGCAAGTGTATGTGCCCTGTGGCAAAAAAAAAAAATATATATATATATATATATATATACACACACACACACACACACATATGTATACACACATACATACATGCACACACACACATATGTGTGTTGGGAATTTGGACACTGTGATTGCTGACATACTGAGGAAGGACCATACTAGAAGTCCAGACCAGCTAGGAACTTCCCCAGAGCTGTTAACATTGGTAAAATAATAAAGTCAGTGTTCTTTGAGCACCTGTATTTGTGTCTGATGCTGCAGGCAATTGCAGTACAACCAGGAAAGCCTTTTACTTTCTTCCTGTCATTTTTAAAAATTATTTTAATTTTTATAGATATAACTCTTAGACATTACAATTGTTATACATCTAATTTATTTATTCAACAGACATTATGGTGTTGAGCTACTTTAGGCCAGGCATTGGGCCAGGTGCTGGAAATACTCGGCCCATTAATAAATCAAGATATCAGAATGCATAGTCTAGGCAGTGAGAAGGATGAATAAGCAAAAATTGCACCTGGGTTGAAAATAGTAAGTACTGTGGCCAGTTATGGTTTTACAGATAGACGTGCATTCATTGGATCTGCTAGGATGAGGCACAGAGTTGAACTTGTTCTGTGACCGTGAGATCTGCTCAAACTTTCTAAGAAGCATAAGCCCTCCTGCCTCTCCCACAATTTGAGAAAGGAGAAGAGCTTCACCAGGAGAAGCCAGAGAGAGCCTAACAGACAAACTAAGAATCAATTCACTGATGGATCCATGTGTCAAACTAAGGGCTCCTAAAGGTCTTTTTGGATCTTTGTCTTGGAGAGTCTGGTTTGTCAGTTGTCACTGCTAACACCAAGTAAACTTGGAATTAATGATTTAATGTTTCATGTGAAAAAAATTAAAAAGCTAAAAAACGATTTGTTTGAGATTGGCGTGTGCAGCTCAAGCTTTCATAACAAAGCACCATGAGCTGACCAGCTTAAACAATAGATATGTACTGTCTTACAGTTCTGGAGGCTGGAAGTCCTTGATCAAGGTGTCAGCACCATCTGAGGCCTTTCTCCTCAGTCTATAGATGATGTCTTCTCCTGTTTCCTTACATGGTTATCTCACTGTGTGTGTCTGTGTCCTAATCTCCTCTTCTTCCTTTTCAATTTTTTGTTTGTTCATTTTGCCTTTTGTTTTTGATTGCCAGAGGGCATGTGCATTCCCCAGAGAGAGAAAGAGAGGGAGGAGAAAGCACCTCCACAATGGGACATAGTCATGCTGCAATCCCTTCTCCTTCACTTCTCCATTCTCTCAGGATTTGGGGCATGCACATACATGCAACTGGTATGTCCCTCAAGCCACTGGAGTTGAGATTCAAACTGAGCAGCTGGCCGTATGATACCTGACTTCCTTAACCACCAGGCTTCAAGATTGGCCTATCTCTTTTTCCTATAGAACCCACAGTCATATTAGATCAGAGGCCACCCTACTATCCTCAGTTTAACTTATTCATGTCTGTAAAGACCTTGTCTCGAAATAATAGTCATATTCTGGGATACTGGGGGTTATGGTTTCAATATATGAATTTAGGGGAAAACAAAATTCAGCCCATGACAGTCTGCTTCAGCTGTGACCCTGCCCATCTACGACACAGATATACTGATAATCTTTCCACACCTTCAACATTAACTCCTAGCTATCATATTTCTGCTTGTTTGCTCTTTCTCTCTCTCTCCTTTCTTTCTTTCTTCCTTCCTTCCTTTCCTTCTTTCTCCCTTTCTTTCTTTCTCTCTCTTTCTTTCTTTTTCTTTCTTCTTCTTATAACTTTGCCATAGGGTGTGTACACTCACCAGAGAGAAACAGAAAGACAGAGCAGGAGAGATAGAGGAAGAAAGCCCTTTCCACTGGGGTGTGATCATACCACAGTCCTTTCTCCTCCATAGCTTCATCTTGCTGGGATTTTGAGTACACCCAAACATATGCCTGGCATATTTTTAAGCCACCAGAGCTGGGATTTGAGCTGTGGGATTCAGTTCCCTTAACCTCTAGGCCACAGGGCCAGTCCTACATTTCAGTTTTCAATTGACAATTGACTAGTCTAAGCTGGAACCATGGGGCAAGATCCAAGGATGACTGCATGCATTTTACCTCATTGAGAAACCTGTTTGTTTTTAGAGCTTTTTGCTTTAGGGCATGTGCACTCACCAGGGATAGAGTGAGAGACAGAGAGACAGAGATGGTGAGAAGGGAAATGAAAAATCACCCCCATGGGGGATGCCCATGTCACAATCCTTTCTCTTCCATTCTCCTCCTGAGATCTTGGGCAGGGCACGCATGCACATGCCCTGGTGTAAGTTTCAAGCCACTGGGTCTAGGATTGAATTCTGGTTGAGAGATCTGCTCAAACTTTCTAAGAAGCATAAGCCCTCCTGCCTCTCCCACAATTTGAGAAAGGAGAAGAGCTTCACCAGGAGAAGCCAGAGAGAGCCTAACAGACAAACTAAGAATCAATTCACTGATGGATCCATGTGTCAAACTAAGGGCTCCTAAAGGTCTTTTTGGATCTTTGTCTTGGAGAGTCTGGTTTGTCAGTTGTCACTGCTAACACCAAGTAAACTTGGAATTAATGATTTAATGTTTCATGTGAAAAAAATTAAAAAGCTAAAAAACGATTTGTTTGAGATTGGCGTGTGCAGCTCAAGCTTTCATAACAAAGCACCATGAGCTGACCAGCTTAAACAATAGATATGTACTGTCTTACAGTTCTGGAGGCTGGAAGTCCTTGATCAAGGTGTCAGCACCATCTGAGGCCTTTCTCCTCAGTCTATAGATGATGTCTTCTCCTGTTTCCTTACATGGTTATCTCACTGTGTGTGTCTGTGTCCTAATCTCCTCTTCTTCCTTTTCAATTTTTTGTTTGTTCATTTTGCCTTTTGTTTTTGATTGCCAGAGGGCATGTGCATTCCCCAGAGAGAGAAAGAGAGGGAGGAGAAAGCACCTCCACAATGGGACATAGTCATGCTGCAATCCCTTCTCCTTCACTTCTCCATTCTCTCAGGATTTGGGGCATGCACATACATGCAACTGGTATGTCCCTCAAGCCACTGGAGTTGAGATTCAAACTGAGCAGCTGGCCGTATGATACCTGACTTCCTTAACCACCAGGCTTCAAGATTGGCCTATCTCTTTTTCCTATAGAACCCACAGTCATATTAGATCAGAGGCCACCCTACTATCCTCAGTTTAACTTATTCATGTCTGTAAAGACCTTGTCTCGAAATAATAGTCATATTCTGGGATACTGGGGGTTATGGTTTCAATATATGAATTTAGGGGAAAACAAAATTCAGCCCATGACAGTCTGCTTCAGCTGTGACCCTGCCCATCTACGACACAGATATACTGATAATCTTTCCACACCTTCAACATTAACTCCTAGCTATCATATTTCTGCTTGTTTGCTCTTTCTCTCTCTCTCCTTTCTTTCTTTCTTCCTTCCTTCCTTTCCTTCTTTCTCCCTTTCTTTCTTTCTCTCTCTTTCTTTCTTTTTCTTTCTTCTTCTTATAACTTTGCCATAGGGTGTGTACACTCACCAGAGAGAAACAGAAAGACAGAGCAGGAGAGATAGAGGAAGAAAGCCCTTTCCACTGGGGTGTGATCATACCACAGTCCTTTCTCCTCCATAGCTTCATCTTGCTGGGATTTTGAGTACACCCAAACATATGCCTGGCATATTTTTAAGCCACCAGAGCTGGGATTTGAGCTGTGGGATTCAGTTCCCTTAACCTCTAGGCCACAGGGCCAGTCCTACATTTCAGTTTTCAATTGACAATTGACTAGTCTAAGCTGGAACCATGGGGCAAGATCCAAGGATGACTGCATGCATTTTACCTCATTGAGAAACCTGTTTGTTTTTAGAGCTTTTTGCTTTAGGGCATGTGCACTCACCAGGGATAGAGTGAGAGACAGAGAGACAGAGATGGTGAGAAGGGAAATGAAAAATCACCCCCATGGGGGATGCCCATGTCACAATCCTTTCTCTTCCATTCTCCTCCTGAGATCTTGGGCAGGGCACGCATGCACATGCCCTGGTGTAAGTTTCAAGCCACTGGGTCTAGGATTGAATTCTGGTTGATCATGTGGGAGTCTAGTGACATATTTGCTATGTCATCTATTGGCCTGAGAAACATGTTTTAAAAATGAATCTGGGGACCAGCAGTTGGGGTAATGGCTATGTCGTGGACTCCCATGTAGTCAACTGCAGTTTGAGTCCGGGACCCGGTGGCCAGGCGCGTGTGTGTGCTTGCCCAAGATCCTGAGAGGAGAATGGAGGAGAAGAGATTGCGGCATGTTCATCCCCGCTGGGTGGTGACTTCTCATTTTCTGTCTCTCTGTCTCTCTCTGTCTTTCTGGTGAGCGCATGTGCCCTATAGCAAAAATAACCTCTCCAAAAAAAAAAAAAGAATCTGAACGAGCCAGCAGATGGTGTGGTGATTAGGGTGTTGTACTCACACATGGCCAACTGCAGTTTGAGTCCTGGACTTGGTGGCATGCTTTCTCACTTTCTCTTTCCCCCTCCAAATTAAAATAACAATAATAATAGTAATAATAATTAATTAAACTAAATAATTATTTTAAAAAATAAATCTGAGAACACTGAGTTGGGCCAATCTAATAGATTCTTAGGCTAAGTTTGTATAAATGGTTTTTTGTTTGTTTGTTTCTTTATGTACTAAAATCCTGGCATCTGGGCCAGCTGGTGGTGTGGTTGTTAAGGTTGTTGGATCCTACATGGCCAACAGTGTAGTTTGAGTCTCAGATCCAACGGCTTGAACACTGGAAAAGTTTTCAATTAATAATAATCGTGCCTCGGATAAACCTCATTGGCTACGATACTGCCACTGTGCACATAAGTGTGTGTATGAGCCCAAAAATCTTCAGAGAAAATGGAAGGGAAAGGATTGTGCCATGGCCATCTCCCCTGAGGGGTGCTTTCTCATTCTCCTCTTCTCTTTTTCTCTCTGGGAATTTATACACCCTATAGTAAAAAAAAAATGTTTAGGGAGATTTTTGCTATAGAGCATGTGTGCTCACCAGAGAGACAGAGAGAGACAGACAGGAAGTGAGAAATCATCCCCTCAGGGGGATGGCCACCCACAAACCCTTCTCCATTCTCCTCTTGGAATTTTGGGCATGGATGCACATGTACCCAGTGTGAGTTTTAAGTTGCTGGGTATGAAACTAAAATCATGGTTGACTACGTGGGATTCCAGTGATGTAACCATTATACCATCTGCTGGTCCTAATATAGAAAAAATTTAAAAAGAAATCACAACATCTAACAGTTATCATATTATCTATAAAGTTAAAATTATTTTATTTAATTAATTAATTTATATATTATTAGAGAAAAATTTTTGCTTTAGGGTGTGTGTGCTCACCGGAGAGACAGAGAGAGAGGGATAGAAAGCAAGAAATCAACCCTCCTCCCAGGAATGATGGCCACACTTCATTCCCTTCTCCTTCACTCTCCTCTTTAGATCTTGGGCATGCATGAACACATGCCCAGAGTATTTCAAGCCACCGAGTCCAGGACTCAAACCACAGTCAGCCATGTGGGAGTCCAGTGATATAATCATTATGACATCTACTGGTCCCAAATTAAAAAAATTTTAAGAACTATTGGGATAAGGGTGTAGAAAGCGGCCAGTCTGAGCAAACATGGTGACCTGTAGACACATGCAGAAGCAGGGTTTTGTGAGTTGTCATTTACACAGCATGAAAGCAATTTGCATGCAAATACATTTGCTGCCTAAAACTGCAGAGCAGTGTCTGTTTAAAGGAAGCCACATGTGGTTGTCAGAATTTGCCCCAAAAGATCAGAGAAACTACATGGCACCAGTTGTTTTCACATATGTCTAAAGGTCACTATGTTTGTTCAGGTTGGCCGCTTTCCACATAAGGGGTCAGACGGTGGTGTGGTATTTAAGGTGAATGAATTCCACATGGCCAACTGTGCGGTTCAAGTCCCATACCTGATGGTTAGAAATCATGCCAGGGGGGTGCATGTGCCCAAAATCCTGAGAGGAGAATAGAGGATAAGGGATTGAGGTGTGGTCATTTCTCACTTTCCCCTCTTTCTCTTCCTCTGTCTCTCTCTGGCAAGTACACAGGCCCTAAAAACAAAACCACCAGGAAAAAAAAAAAAAGCTGTTGGGATAAAAGAAAAATACTTTCCTGATTGTATTGCTATTGTCTACAGCATCAGACACTTGACTAAATCTATCAAAGTATTAGGTCATTGGGTACTTTTCTATGCAAAAACGCATCATGACTTCCCCGACAACCCTATAGATTCTTAGGTTAAATCCCCATTGTTTATTATTATTTTTTGTGGGGAGAGGTTTTTGCTATAGGACGTGTGCACTCACCAGAAAGACAGAGCGAGATAGAGAGACAGAAAGCGAGAAATCACCCTCCAGGGGGATGGCCATGCCGCAATCCCTTATCCTCCATTCTCCTCTTGGGATCTTAGACGTGCACACACTTGCACCTGGTGTGAGTTTAAGCCACTGGGTTTGGGACTCAAACCACGGTCGACTACATGGGAGTCCAGCAACATAGCCATTACACCAACTGCTGGTGCCCCCATTGTTTAAATAGTGATTAGTTCATGGGGCTAGCAAGTGGCATGGTGGTTAAGGCACTGGACTCCCACATGGCCCACTGCATTTCTTTTTTTTTTTTTTTTTTGAGACATTTTTGATATAGAGTGTGTGTGCTTGCTGGAGAGACAAAGCGAGACAAAGAGACAGAAAGTGAGAGATCACCTCCCCAGAGGGGATGGTCATGCTGCCATCCCCTCTTCTTAATTTTCTTCTTGAGATCTTGGGCATGTACACACACGCACCAGCGTGAGTTTAAAGCCACCAGGTCTGGGGACTTGAACCATGGTTGACTATGTGGGAGTCCAGTGGCACAACTGTCACTCCATCTGCTAGTCCTGGGCCCACTACAATTCTAGCTCTGGATTTGGTGGCTTGAAAATCATACTGGGTACATGTGTGTGCATGCCCAAAATCCCAAGAAGAGATTAGAAGAGAAAGAAGTGCAGCATGGCCATCTCCTCTGGGGGGTGATTTCTTGCTCTTTCTCTTTCTCTGTCTCTCTCTCTGTCTCTCTCTCAGTCAACCACACATGCCCTATGACAAAAGTCCTTAAAAAAATTATTAGTTCCATGAGTGAGAAAGAGAGTGAGAACACAGGTCCTGATACTACAATCCACCCTCAGCTTCAGCCAGCACCTGGACAATGGGCACATGAGTGCCCAGCATACTCAGGAAGGTCCCCAGACATAAGCCTAGAACCTTCCAGTGTGGATTGGCCTTACACAGCATTGCAGTTTATCACCATGGCATTGCAGAGCTGAATTCTCATTTTTAAATGATATTTTTCATTGTTGTGTCTGAAAACACACTACATTGGTAGATTTTAAGTTGTTAGTGACAATCCATCTTTATACATAGCTGGTATCAGATTTCTTTACCTTGCTATCACCTTTCTCTAATTGCATGTCCATGCTGACTTTAGGATAACATATGTGATTTTCTTGTGCTTTGCAGATTTTCACACATCTGGTGTTTATTCCATGTCACTTCTTCATGTACCATGTAAGTTTAGGTCAAAACAATTGGGTGGGTCTGATCCAGTATAAAAGAAAACTGTCCCCACATGTCAAGCAAATTGATTTCCCATGAGCAGAGCCTTAGGTACCTGCTCTTACTCTCCCAACTTGACCCTTTGATGCCCACCCTGCCCTCCTCACCTCTTTCTACCTTCAACCCCAGTGAGCAGGAAGCCACTCTTGTGCTCAGCTGGACCAGACTAGTAGGGAATATCCTTGTTGTCTCCTCTTCCAAAAAGCCCAGCATTTTGAGAGTCTGCTGTGATTGAGAACAGAGGCCCATTTCTTGGGCAGGGGCTGCTGTTAGTTTTTAATTTGGATTGAAATCTTTAGCTCTGAGTAATGTTTCCCTGAGCCAGGGAAGGCGGCACCTGTGAATACTGATGAAGCCAGCAGGCCTGAGGCTGGTGTCAGGAGCAGCTCTGAGACACAGAGTTGTAAGGAGTCAGCGAGCTCCTGGAAGAAGTGAGGCCTGCACCATGTCAGCAGCCAGCCAGCACCAACCCGGATGGCTCCAGCTGGGCCAAAGGAGCTGTGCTTGTGCTGAGAGGTGCTGTAGCAACGAATTCCAAGAACTGGTTCCCAAAGAGAAGGCAGGCAGGGCTCCCAGCCCGGTTCTGGGAATGCACAGGCCTCAGCCTCTACCCTGTGGCAGCTTCACAGGCCCTGTGGGCCTGTCCATGTTCATTCATAGCACTTGACAGTTAAAGCCTTTTTTTTTTTCTTCCCAGTTTTGTCATAGGACATATGTGCTCACCATAGAGAGAGACAGGAAAAGTGAGAAATCACCCCCAGAGGGTTGGCCACACTGGAATACTTTCACTCTCCTTGGTATTTTGGGCACACATACACTTATACACCCAGTGTGTTTCTCAAGCTACCAGGTCCAGGACTCGAATTGCAGTGAGCCCCATTGGATCCAGCGGCCTTAAGCTCGGCACCGCTATTGGTCTAGTTCCAGCTTTTTACGTTAGGTGGATTGAAAATGCATGGGGATTACTATGGCTTTTTGTAACGTTAAGTTGTTGAGTAGGTCCTTCATACTACTGGCAAAAACCAGCCCTTCCCCAAAGCTGAGCACGGCCGGGATTACAGGTAGCGCAGGGCTCAAGTGAAAAAGAGAGGGGCCTGAGGGCCAGGGAACTGGGATCAGGAGGCAAGATCTTCATCCTAGACTGTGAGCAATCTGCCATCTGTCTGTCCATCTGTCTTCATCTGTCTCGATCTCTGGCATGGAGCAAGTGCTCAGTGATCATTTGTGGAGCAATTACTGCCCATGGGAGCCTCCTGGCTGTCCAGTCAAGGTAGCAAGATGGCCATATGCCTGGTGTTCTTGCTACCATAGATGAGGCAACAATGAGCCCACGTGGAGCAATTTCTTTGCCTCTGCTGGCTGGATGCTGGCTCACCATGACCCAGTCTGCTCCATGGAAGGGTCTGGATCCACCACGGTGGACTTCATTCATTTAGACCACATGGTCCCTTGAGGTCCTACCAAAAAAGGGCTGGGGCAGGCAGGATCTGGGATGAATTACTTGGGAAGCCTTAAAACAAGTAATTATGCCTATAATTTATTTAATTACAAGGTGAGGCGTACCCTGCGGGACAAGGACAGAGCACAGGGAGAGCTGACTCAGTGGCCAACAACACTGGAGGCTCCAGGCTAATCTGCTGGAGGAGGGCAGGTAGCTCCCAACCTGTCTGATGGGGGTGGGTAGTGGACAAGAACGGGTTCTGCAGAGGGTTGTGTGCAGGAGGGGTGAACTCCTCTCTGTTTTCAGCCACAGCCTAAGGAACCCACACGGTGCTCCTGAGTAATCCCCACAGCAGCCCGGAGACCCCATCTTCTCCATCCTACTGAGAAGCTGGGTACCATGAAGATAAGATATGGCCCCCACTCTGAAGGAGAGGCAATGCCAGGAACATCCTCACTGCAGGGGATCCTATACTTTTTTTTTTTTTTAAGGATCATGTATTTAATTTTATTTATCATTATTATTTTTTTTCTTTTTTTTGAGAGGTTTTCGCTATAGGGCACGTGTGCTCGCCAGACAGACAGAGAGAGACATAGAGACAGAAAGTGAGAAATCACCCCCCAGAGGGGATGGTCATGCCGCAATCCCTCCTCTTCCATTCTCCTCTCAGGATCTTGGGCACGCATACACACGCGCCCGGCGTGAGTTTTAAGCCACCGGGTCCGGGACACGAACTGTGGTCGACTACGTGGGAGT